ACTCGAACTTCAGTCTAATGCCTAAAAATTCTGAGACACTTTCAGATTTTGACATTTGAAATTCTTTATATAACAATGATATTGTAATACATCCGAACCTGCAATTAATAGTCATCCACATAAAGAGCCATAATTACTTTCGTACAATTTAGATTTCTGATGAAAATACATGGTTCAGACAGAGTCCAATTGCTTAAAATCTAATTTAATAACAGAATTAAGAAATTTCTGATACCATTGTCAAGGAGACTGTTTAAGATCATATAAACTTTTTTCAAGTTTACATTTCTTATTTTCACTCATATTATCATGATCCTTTGGGCTGGTCTATGTAGATGGTTTCATCTAACTTACCATTCAAGAAAGCTGTCTTGACATCTAAAGTAAAAGTTTGCAAACATTCATTATTGATTATTACCAGGATTAAACGTAAAGAGCACATACTAATTACTGGAGAAAACGTGTATGTATAGTCTATGCCTTCCTTTTGCATGAAGCCATGAGCAACAAGCCTGGCTTTGTAAGTTCCATCTTGTTTTTTACGTAGAACCCATTTGTAGGAAATGGCTTTTTTATCAGGGGGCAAATTTTGTAGATCCCAGATGTTGTTATCTTCCATAGATTTCATTTCCTCGTCCTTAGCTCTTTTCCATAGTTCTTGTTCTACAATATCATCAAAGGTCAGAGTGTCTTGTTGTGCAAACATCACTTGGTAAATCTCAGAATTAAGATACCTAACTGTTTGTGTCTTTTCTCTTGGAAGATTTTCTTTGTTCCTCCTTCTCATTTGCAGCATTTAATCCACCATTGTCAGTGTTTGAAATTAATTTGTCTTCATTTTTAGTGTCATCATTGTCATTTTCACTCAAATCAGAACTATTGGAAATGTATTGATTTTCTACTTTCTCCTTTTCTTCATTAAATTTGATATTTCTGGAAACAATGATGCGTCTTGTTTCTGGAAACATTAAATGATATCCCATTGTGGAATAACCTACAAATATCATTCTGACAGATTTTTCATCTATTTTCTTTCTTTGGGATGGTGGCACAAGAGTATAAGCACCACAGCCAAATGCATGCATGTTTGTCAAATCGAGATTTTCACCATACTTCGGAAATAAGGAACACGATTGTCAATTGAACTATTTGGGAGTCGATTATTTATATGAGCAGCCGTAAGTACTGCTTCACCCCAAAGGAATTTTGATTAAATTTGCCTCAAGGAGCATTGCTCTAGCTTTTTCCAGTACAGTTCTAATTGCTCTTTCAGCAACACCATTTAGAAAAGGTATATAGGGAGGTGCAGGATCTATTTTTACACCTGCTCTTTTAGCAACTTCATAAAGTTCTCCACTGACATACTCTTTGGCATTGTCACAGCGCAGTTTTGTGACAGTTGGATTCAATTTAAAGAATAGTTCAAGTTTCATCAACAATGTCACTTTTTCTTTTGAGCAATCTTATTTCCGTAAATCGTGAGTAGTCATCAATTATAGTCATGAAATACTTTTCAACATGGAGTGTTTGAGGTTTTATTGGACCACATACATCAGTGTGTATAGTTATAAACAATTTGGATTCTTTTCTGCGAGAACCCTTTCCTATAGGCAATATACTTTGTTTAGCACGAACACATACTTCACAAAATGTTTCTTTTGCTGGAAGATTCATTAGTTTTAATTCTTGATCACAACCTTGTCCTAGTCTTCCGTGCTGTAAATCATCATTCTTTACTGATAAAACTGTATATAAATTTGGTGAAAAATCACTAAAATATTGTCCACATTTGTCCAAATATCTAAAACGTTTGTTTTTGTTTTCAATGTAAACCTTTTCATTTAAAAAAATTATGCTTAAACCTGCTGCTTCAATATTTTTGACAGAAATTAACTGCCAATTTAATTTCGGAACGTAAAGAACATCTTTTAACATTATTTCAACACCATTGTTAGTTTTGCAGCAAATGTCACCAATGCCTTCTACTTCTAAAACTACCACTTAGAGGCACATTTAGCAGTTCCACTCTCAGGCTTAATTGAGGTAAACCATTCCTTGTGAGAAGTTGCACCAGAATTAATAATAAATTGATCATGCACAAGATTTCGAGCCACAAAAAATATTGCAGGTGATGCATACTTATTACTATTTGAATTTGGCTGCTTTTTAGGATTATGAAAACATTCACTTTTGAAATTACCAGTTTTCCCACAACTATGACAGACGCAGTTCTTTTTTCTACAGAATTTAGCAGAATGTCCTTTTTTCTTTTAGAATAAATGCAAAACAGTTCTTTACGAGTACTAATAAAAACAGAGTTGTCCATATTTGGTTTAATACTTATTTTCATTTTTGTCATCGAACATAAGGGATTCAGAATCAAAAAGGCTGCTTGTAATAAATTTAAAACTCAAATTATCACTTGGTTGATATTCTAGTGATGCCTTAACATTTTCATATTCCTTTGGCAATGACATTAAAATGTAAATAATAACATCAAAGTCATTTACTTCAGATCCAGAAAAGCGTAGATTACTGACCAAGTTCCGTATGTTGTAGATATGTTGTCTCATTGACACATCTTTAGATTTTCTTATGGTAGCTAAACATTTACGTGTTAAAATTTGACTCACTGCTCCTTTAGCACTATGCATAGATTGCAGTTTCTTCCATATTTTAGATGCCGTGTGTTCACTTTGAAGAAAAGCAAGAATATTATCACTTAAAAGCACAAGAATTAAGGCGTAAGGCTTTTTTGTTTTCAAAACATCTGCAGTTCTGTCTGCAGTTACTTTTGTTTCTAAAAATGTATCCAATGCCTTTTCAGTAAATACTGCTTGAATCCTTTGACACCAAACAGTAAAGTTATTAACGTCATCAAATGGCACAACACCAAAAACTTTTTTTTCACTTCCGCTTAAAAAAGCTATCATTCACGAAAAACCAAAACAAAATAAAAATTACACGAACGATAAAATATGACGCTGGCATAGAATGTTACATAAAAAAAAAAAGATCAGCGCATTCTAATTTGTGACGAACCATGCTTTGCTATTGAACATTTAAATGCTGTGGTTCGAAAAACAAACATTTATTACAGAGCAAAAAAATGAAACACATGCAGAGAGAGAAAAAGTTTACAGAGGTTTTATAAAAATAACTTTACAGCAGATCATGGTTTAGCGAATCACACACACACACACACACACACACACAAACAAACAAACAAACAAAAATCAAAAGTAACAAAAAGAAAATATAACCAAATAAAATAGGATTAAGTTTCAGAATACATCGGACGTGACAGAAAGCTATAATTCTTTTTAACCAATAAGAATGCGATTACAAATATCTCAACAATACCAAAGTGATGATTGAGTGGGTTAGACAATGTCACAGCGAGCTTAATTAGGCAGTGTTCAAAGTTAACCTTTCACTGTACGGATCATACAGAAATGATTGGCACAATGGCTCTCACAATGGCACTATTATACAATGCTACAGGGAAACAAGTGAAATAGACACAAGGGGGCAGGCATGCACTACCCAGAATGCATAGGTAGAACTGGTCTCAGACGAATGATAAGCCAACATCTGTCCCTTTTGCCGTCGTCATTGAGAGTGTAGACAGCAATGATGGAAGGTGACTATCACGGTCAGCATTGGACAGCATGGTTCCTATGGAATGAAAAGATACAGGGTAGTGAGATCCATCGTCGCATAGTGTCGGTGTGCGGGAATAAAACACCCTCAAGGTGTACTGTATACCATTGGCCAAATTCAACAGCGAAGTGGAGACTACAACTAAAGGTGTCAGCATGGAATGACAGCAACATTGCATAAAGTTGCAAATGTGGCAGTCGAGTCAGATTTGATCATGGCAAACAGGCGCATAATGTTCACCGATATGCAAGAAGAGACAGGTCTTGCACGTGAAACATTGCAGGCGATTGTGCATGGTGATTTGGAGATGACAAAGGTGTGTGCGAAATAGGTGCCTCATGCACTCGCACCATAACAAAAGGCAAAGCGCACTGAAATCTGCAAAGAACAGCTTGCACAACACGATGGTGATCCGGATTACTTCTTTGCCTGCCTAGTCATGGGGGACGAGTCGGGGTTTTTGAGGGTAACTCCCGAAAAAATGCAGCTCCATGGAGTGGGAGCATGCATCAAGCCCATGTCCCAAGAAGCCTAGGGCGGCTTTGAACGTGTAAAACAAATGGCAACAGTCTTCTGGGATGTCCAGGGCATTCTTCTCATGGACTGGCTGGAGCCTGGGTGCACCATCAGCAGCGACCGCTACTGTGAAGTTGCCAGAACGCTGTGACGGCACAATTAAACAGCACTGTCCAAGCAAATTGGCAGGGCATGGGCTGTTGCAGCAAGACAGCGCACACTCCGACATTAGCCAGAACACCTGCGACACTCAAGGCATCGGGATTCATTGTTGCCACACCCTCCATACTCGCCCAATCTGGTCCCCTTGGACTACACCTTTTGTGACAAGATGAAGGATGCAGTCAGGGTTCAACATGTTGAATCTTCTGCCGAATTGCGTGCAATCGTCTGTAGGTGGTGTACCAACACCCCACAGACTGTTTAGCCCACAGACTAGGAAGCCCTCAGGGGCCTTCCAGCCAGATGGCTGAAGTTTATTGACTTGGGCGGGGATTATTTCTAACTAATGTACTATCTGTTTTTTTGTTAATAAATTGTATTCCGCTTTGTAGCAGCATTTGTGTCATTCAATTCTGTACTCACTAAATATTATTTCTTGGAACAGAGGATGATCCTTTTGCTGCAATGAGCTGAGTGATCATCTCTGATAAGCTTTATTGTTTTCTGCTAGTATTGCTAGTATTATAATTTAGTTTTCTGCTAGTATTATAATTTATGCAGTAGTAATTATGCCGAATTCATCAGTATGTTTTTTCTGAAAACATTCATCACATATTTCATTTATTCTTATAAACCACTTCTTCTATTTATTTATTTAGGAACATACCTTCTTCTCGACCTTGGATGAAGAAAAATAGAATGTTACAAAAACTAGGTATTGACTTTTTGTTGAGGAAAAGTAGACGCTTAGAAGAACTGAATACTGACCTTTCATTGAGGAAAAGTAGACGCATAGAAAAACTGAATGTTAACCTTTCAGAATGTGTGCGAGATGCTAAAGCTATTGCAAAAGCAGAGAAGAAGGCTGAAGAAAACATTAAAAAGGTAATTTGTATCAGCTGTTGATATAAATTTAAACTTCAGCGTAATTTTCAGAACTTTTTATATAAACGGAATTTGTTCTTGTCTATGCTCCTTTTCATTGTGCCTAAAAATAATAGTTATATATTCTTGTTTTCAGTTAAGGTAATAATGATAAGTGTTAAATAGATTCATTGTTTTGAAAAATTTGCCACCAGCAATAAAAAAGTTGCTGTGTTGATGACCAAAGATGTCATTATCTTCATTTGTATCAACAATTTTGATAAACGTATTCTGTATCATAGTCACTTGAAATGGTTGTGCTCTCAGAAGCTTATTTTACTAGATCAAAAGTTGAAAGGTCTTGTTTTTTTACTACATCTGTAATATGTGTTTTTAATCATTAGATTGTTTGGGTATAAAAAGTAATATTAGATTTTTCTCCTTTCGTAATAGTGCCTCTTTATTATGTTTTTATGTATATGTTACATATTTATTTAATGTGATCAAATTTATAATTTTGTAGAAGGATTTCATCTGGACTTCTAAAGAGATTTCTACTTATGAATGTGATTTAAGTAGTAATGCTGATAACAGGTAAATCTTTTGCACCTTCATTTATGTGTGTGTATGGGTGTTTCTTTCAAGGTAATTTATTCTGTATTTATAAAGGAAACTTTGGTTCTAGTAATACTTTTTTTGCACTTTTGATTTACAGTACAAGGTCTGTAATCCGGATTCGTTGGGACTTCGGTGATTCCGGATTATAGATCATCAATTTAAATTTTTTTAAGATGGCATGCAGAAATTTTACAATTAAAAATATTAAACAGTAATTTATGAAATAAAGAGCAATTATGATCTGAAGGGTACCAAATTTTACAAAAAAAAAAAAAGCTTAATATTTATTTGTTTACTTTATTAAACATTTCTTTCAATGCAAGTTGTTTAAGTTGCTTCGTTTTTTGTGCTAATACTTTCTCTTTAATTCTATAAACAGACATAATTTCTTGTTCAGTTACAAAGTTCCACTCTTCCAAGTCCTGTAATTGCTGTGCTGAGAATACCGACTAACTTGTCAATCGAAATTTTTTCGTTTTCACTAACCTCTCTTTCACTTTCTTCATGCCTTTATCCATTTTTTTGCAGCAATTCCACTTTTTGTTTGATTGACATTGAAACATGCTTTCGCTTTGTAGATCTTTTGGCTGCTCCAGAATTGGAAACTCTTTTTGAAATAAACGAAAGTTCAAGCTGAATTTTTATAAAATTGCTCTAACAGTCTGCAAAAAATAATAAGCTGGATCCAATTGGAAGATTAAGGAACAGCGCAATCTGCAACATTAACTGAAATAGATAATTAGAGATAATTTTAGCCTAGCTTATACTGTCTGTTATACATTAAGCGGACATGCGTAAACATATTATGCGCATGCGTAAACGCATTATGCATTTAGACATGCGCATAAAATTTGTAGCTTTGAAGTCTGGATTATAGACATCAGGATTAAAGACTTTGTACTGTACTGTTAAAAATACGTTGCATCTCCCTTGTAATAAGTCTCACAGTTACATAGAAAATGCACACACTTGATCAGGCAAAACATTCTACCTACTTGTGCACTGCAACAGGTCTTATACAGGTTTTTTTTAAAATGATTTTTGATCCTTAAAAGTCCTTAATTTGGGCCAAAATGGGCAGTAGGTCTTTAATGTTTATCATCTAAAATTTGTCTGTTTTTTTATGACAACTGCCAATTGTAGTGTGAATTAGCATTTTGGAGGAATATTTTTTGGCCATTCACAGACAAGTATGTATTTGATGGGTTATTGTTTGAATTTGTCCCTTCTTCTAACATAAATGGTGCAGTGCTCAAGTTTCTGGGCTGGAAGTGAAACATTAGCATTTAAAAATGGTTTCTTTTTTGCTAATGAAAGAGCTCATAAACAATTTCTCTTTTGAGGACATGAATTCTTGCATTAAATAGCTAAAATTGGTGACTTATCAACATTTTGGTGATTTTTTAAGATAAATTTCTATACAAAGCGTTTAACTTGGAAGTTTGTGGATTTTGGGTTTTTTTAAATAAAAATATAACATTCATAAATGTAATTAAAATAATGGTAATGTATTAAAATTTTATTTAAGAAATAATATTAAAATAAAGCATTTTATTTTCCCTTGTAGTATTATAAATTGACATTACTTTCCATTTCGGCGACTTATTGGTAGAATATTTTGAATATGAAAAACAAACAATGTAATAAATACTACATGGCACAATTTTTGAAACATTTCTTAGCAAAATAGCTACTGTAATTATTTTAAAATGGCTTCTTTCATATTTCTTCATGGCAAGAGTTTATCCCCATGTAATTGTCTCAGAATTTTCAGAATGTGTATCAGTTTTTGCTGTAAAATTCATTTTTCACTTTTCTTCTGCGATTTTTTTTTTCCCCCAAAATCTTCTGCCTTTTTGCTGTTATAGAATTGGTAGAGGTAATTTTCTTTCGGATTTTAGACATTGCACATCGGAAAGTTTAGAAGGCTTTGAAGACAAGATTTATAGATTTGCGATTCCAAAAGATTCCAGAAAAATATGACTAACTAAAAAATACCTTCAAGGTATTAACATGTAACAGATGTATTTTACATGAAGTTTGAATTTCTTACTTTTCAGAGAATTTTTGGAAGAACAATGAATTAAGACACAATAACATGCCGAATAAATACTAATTCAGAAGTCAAACAACAAAAACAATGAATTATTTGAATTTTGTATTTCTGATCCTAGAAGTTTTTCTCTTAACATGTTTATCTTTCTTTAATTTTGTCTTCTTTTTATTAGGACACAAGCCTGGAAAATATCAAAAATGCTTCTAATCTTATCACATGAACAGGCATTTATAAAAAGGAATTTTTCTATTAATAAAGAAATTGAAATACTATAGTTTAAAAGATTTATCTTTTATGTTTCAATGCATCATAAACAGGGTTGGTGCTAGGCATTTTCCCACTTGATGCAATCTCTGCGAGTCCTAAATTCTGCTGCTTAATGCCTTACTAAATTCTAAAATTTTTGTTGCTCGAAATTCTGCGGCCCAGTGCCTGTCCTAATTTCTAAAAGTTTTGTCACCCCTTGATTTTGTTGCTTGATGCTTCACTAAATTGTAAAAATTCTGCACACCAGCTCTTCTGACACTGTCCATATATCACTTCACGCCTGGCCAACGACTGTGGATATTAGAGATTGTCCTATGTGTTAGCCCTTTGTTGCTGAGTGCTCCAATACAGGAAACATCCTAATTGGCTAGCTTCTCGAAGTGTTAAATTCTGTTATACATGGATGAAAACAAGGTTTATTATTTACTTTTAACTTCCCTTTTCAGTCATAGATGGCATTATCACACAAGGCAATTATGATTTGCTGTTTTACGCATCATTTAAAATCCTCGTATTTACAAAAAAATTTTTTAATACAAATTTTGAAAAAAAAAAAAAAAAAAAAAAAGGTTATATCATTGGCTGTACTCTAAACTATTTATTTTTTATACAGAAAGTATGTATAGAGAGTCGTTAAATAAAATTAGATGTTCTTTCAACGGGAAAACTGCACCACTAGCTGTTACAGAACCGATGATGATGAAAAAACATCATTTTTTTTCCTGTCTAGGGGAATGAAGTAGTAGCACTTCATTCCCCTAGACAGGGAAAACATATTCTACCATTTTCTAAATGTAACTCTAATTAACAGTTACATACTATTTATATATAATGCTAACTTGAGATGAAATTAAAAAATACCAAACAATTCCATCTGAATTTGCTGTATTCCCTCTCTGCCATGAAGTACACACAAAAGTACATTAAACCCCAAAGATACCCTCATTTTTAAAGGAACGTTTTCTACCTATAAACAATATGACAACTTTGAACACATGCTAGTGAAGGGTACATGGAGACGATGTGTGTTCTGTAGCACAAAAGCGAAGCCGCACGAAACAAGATTCATATGCAAAGCTTGTGATGTTGTGTTTTTGCCAAAAGGATGTTACATGTTTCAAAAATTTAATGAAACCAAAAAATAAAGCATTGTAAATATTTTTTTACTTGTATATGTATGTATATATACAGTTAAAAAGTAAAGTGGGATTGAACTCATCAGCAAGAAGACATGAATTTTACCAAGTAATGTAATATATAAAAAACAGCAAAGTAAAAAACTAAGATGCTAAGACATTGGTTTGAATGTAGTAATTAAAAATAAGGAAAGTAAAAAGAAAATATTAATCTTCCTTGTTTGGAGCTTCATAACAGAACTTGTCAAGGGAAAAGCATTTTGAAACTCCATACATGGTCAACTAATTAGATAGCCAAAACAAATTTTCGTTCCAACAATTCACTGAGACTCGGAAGCATAGGACTTAATCAGTTAGTCAAAGAAATAGTTGAAGAATTAAGAATTTCATTGAATGTCTCTTTTCCCAAATTGTCTTAGCTTTCCAACTCAAAAATATGAGAAGTGAAATATTTTTACATTCTTACAAAGACAAGTTATAAAAATTAAATTTAAATTGATAGAAATTCTAGTAATAAAGAAACAGCAAGCTCTGAAATGAAAAAGAAAAAACGTAAAAGTACAATTGAAATGTCAAAGCTTAAATTAAAACAGTCTGAAAAAAGGATATAATAAGTCAAACTTACCAAATACGAGCGCTGCATGGAAAGAAACTTGAAAAAGAACGTTGGAGGAGGTTTGCCATTTAGTGTTCTGAAGAAAGGTTACCAAAAGTGAAACGGAAATTTTTTGAGCGAATAGTAGTTCACGCTGTAAGTTGACGTGTCTTTGTAAAAGAGTGGGTCCCACCGAGTAAGAAGAAAAAGTGGAGAAGTAATTGCGGGTCAACCTGTCCCTATCAGTAAGAAAAGCTTCCAAAATGGCTACTGAATAGATAGAAGAAGAAGTTGCACAAAATTCTAACTTGCTAGCTTGGCCAGAAAATATTGAAAAAGGAAGATCTTAAAATTTTGTTAGTATAAAGCCATAATTTTTCACTTTTTTCGAGTTACAAAAACATCTTTTGAAAAGAAAATGGCTCCTTTTTTACTGAAGAAAGGCTGGTTGGCCAGGAAATTAATGTAAAAGCAATATATACAAATTAATTTACTAAAGGAAACTGTACAATTAAAGTGTAGAATTTAGTATACATGTGTACATGAATACACTTGTATTAGTCATCCATCATTTACCTTCTAATAAACACACACACACAAGTATATATATGTAAGATATAAGAAAATATGATAGCTGCTTTAAAAATAATTGCCAACCTCAGAATTAAGGATTCTAGACTTAATGCTTTCCTCCTAAATTCATCTGTTCTCCCAAATTCAAAGTCCTTCTATGTTATGTAACAACCTAAGATTAACCCATCATAGTTTAGAGTACTTTTTGCATGTACTTAGTATAAATACTCTTGGGGAAAAAAAAAAAAAAAAAAAACTACACCATTTCTTTTCTCAGCTTCTACCTTGCTAACATCTTGCCGCATCGCTTCTCAGTCTGATGTCTATGTCTTACTTTTAAAATCAGTGT